GTACATTAAAAGAGTTAAAACAGTGCTTAAGGATAAAGATACATACATGAAAATTCTTATGAGTAAAATTAACAATAACTTGTGGCAATTGTTGATAAGAAAAGACAAAATTACATTTCTGAATCAATATACAGACAATTTTATTGTAGTAATGGTAACATTCCTAAAGCTTAAGCGTTGTCAAAAGTGCATAAAATAAATTGCCCATTTAAAATCATCTTCTTTGGATAGTACATTATATAATTTGGTAGCGTTTTTACATGGATTAATTGTCAAAAGCATACCTAAGGTTGCTAGTAACATCGAGAATAGTTTTGAATTAGTTTAGAAATTAAAAACATTAAAATTGATTATGATTTTATTTTGGTGTCGTTAAATGTAATATCACTTTTTACCAACATTCCAACAGATCTGGCATTAGACGCTCTTTCCAATAGATGGGACTTTATTTGGAAAAATTGCAATTTACCGGAAAATGAATTTCTCGAAACTGTTCACTTAGTATTGGATTCGACTTATTTTGTTTTTAACAATCAATTTTATAAACAAACTTTTGGAACGCCTACGGGTTCATCACTTTCTTCGATAGCTAATTTAGTTATGATGGATTTGAAGAATTGGATGTTGAGCAATATTCAATATAAATAACAATAAATAAAGAGCAAAGTAAAAGTCAAATACATTTTTTAAATTGTCACATAATTAAAAAGAATAAATTACAAATAGAGCAAAGTAAAATTGAAAAAATATAATAAAATAAAAACTCAGTTTAAATACAAATAAATTACAAGTTTCGGCTATGATTGTGTCCAAGAGAGAAGAAGATATATAAGAAAATGCGTATAAGAAAGACAGATGTATATATGAAACATTTGTTCTCTCTGAGCATTATAATACCGATAATAATTATACTATAACATAACATACTATATTAACTATAGTGTCTGCAACGTTGGCACATACGCATAGAAGATGAAAGTTCCATGTAATCTTTTTCTTTTACACGCATCTTGGATACATATTTGGGCCACAGGAGGTATAGGCAATGTTCTCTCCATGTCTAGACGCTCTAAGTTAGTGCCAGAGAGAAGCCTGAGGGTGCCGTCCCAAGTAAAGCGGAAATTGACAATGGAACGGAACTCGCGGAATCAACATGAATCACAATAATTATTATTAGTTTGTTATATACATTATTATATTTATTATACATATATTTAAATACATAAAAAAATATATATTATATTTAAAATTCTATTTTTATTATTACATTGTAAATAACATAAAAAGTATGATTTTATATTATTCCGCTTCCGCTTATTCCGCTCAATGGGACATAAAAAATGTAAAAAAAGCGTAAGAAAACGAAATGGCTATGATTTGATTTCGCGAATTCCGTTGCTAATTTTCGCTCCATGGAGGGGCACCCTGAGGGAGGTCAGGCTCGGGATTTAGCTTTATTTTGAAGCGCCTCTATGTCCACATTATTGAACTATGTAGCCAATGTTCATGATTCGATCGGTAATGTCCATAATTTTTTGGTTATATTCTTCGCTATGTCCACGAATATCGGTCCGTTAGATAGACAAAACTGTAAGTTGTCTTGTAACAAGACTTATTACAAGCGACAGATTGATTGTTTGTTTTTGTCTATCTAACGGATCGAAATTCATGGATATAGTGAAAAATAATAAAAAACCGTAAACAAACGTGAATATTACCAATCAAATCATGGACATTAACTACGTAGTTCAATATCTACATTTTGTGGACATAGAGGCGCTTCAAAATAAAGTAACAGCTAAATCCCGGGCATGGTCACTCTTAGGGTTCTCTCTGCTAGTGCGTAAACCAATCTTATGCAAGGAAATATTCAGTATCACTACGACGCGAAACAGGTCGGTATTCATAATCAA